AAAAACGGTTTATAACTAAACTAATCGAAATGTCACTTTAAGTACATTCTGCCTCACGAGCAACGAAATGGATAATAACGTTGAAGAATAAAACCTATAAAGATAGACTTCAACATTCGGGATCATTCTCTTTAAGTTACACGAGAACAAGAGGTGATCTGATAATAGCGTACGGCTGATAGGCACGCCAAACTATCTAAACATGAGCATCTTACAGAAGGATCATCACATCGCCTCTCCAGGTAATCCGCGAAAAATTGCGCATCAAAGAGCAAAAACTCAGGTTCGTGTACACTTTTCAGCAAGAGTTGTTGCAACTTAGGATGCTCTCCCAGCAGAGGTGACCACAGGCCTCTCACTGGGCATCTTTAAGTAGAGACTTCATCAAAACGTACTAATATACGGATTATCAACTCCCTGGTGGACCACATATGCCTGATGAATGCCCAGAAAAGGGGAAGTTGTTACTATTGCCATCTACTGAGATCATTAACTGAATCTATCTTGATTATTATCTCTGTTTCCTCTCCCTTGCTTACACCTTGGTCCTCTATCAGAATCTTTACTACTAATTATTATAATAAACTATCCATTTATTTACTTAGTCCTGAAGTCTTATTCTTATTAGCATTGGAATTCTCTCCTGATTATTCTCTACATTGCAACGAACTGATTTCCGGCCTGTTAACTTGATAGCTGTTGGTATTTAGAAACCCTGCGGCATTGAAACAAATATACCCATCAAAATCATAGGACATAAAAACTCGCAGCCAACTACAAACTGACTAGAATTAGACAGTGGAGTGGCTAAGCCCCCATCTATTGGACATTACCAAATTCCTGGAACCGTACTAAAAGGACAAAAATCGAGCTCAAAGAAATCAAATGTTTTATACTAGCTCGTGAAAAAGATATTGGATATATTGGATAATATATCAATATAATATTTGTGTGACGTAATCAAAAAATCTGGAAAAGCTTCGGAGAACATTAACCCATGTTTTGAGCAATGAGATATTACTCGGGGGATTACCCTTGAATAAACAAAGCTAGAAACATGTATTTATTTTAATCCCTTCAGTAGACAGTGTGCAGAGACCGTTGATAGATTAAAGATGAAATCGACAAATGGGTAGATTCGTGGCCACATTTGTCTAACAAAAACGTCTGAAGAACCCTTAAAGACGTTCACTATGTAACGTTTTATTTTCCACATGAACCTCGATATCATCCTGACAGGACTGAAAACTATCACTATTGTTGATTATGTGATTCATAACCTGAAATATCTCAAGCTAAACGTTTACCCTAAATGGTAAAAATTTTCATCTGAGCGTTCCGAACGACATGTTTGCAGTCGTTAATTTATTGAAGTTATCATCTAGCGAGATTCATATATGTGTACCTTTTGAATTTATTTTGTAAAAACACTTGAGTCTATGTAGTACATCTTCAGTTTCCTAATTTGTAAGACTCTGTTAAGATGACGGATACGTTTTTTGTCGGTGCTTTTTCGAATCCTGCTCGTTAAGCGAGATATGAATTTGAAGTACTTTAATAAGTCCAGAATGTTGATACGAAACGAAGAAGGACTCGAACTTCAGGTGCACAGTTCGATATTGCGTTGTCGTTGTTGTTATTACATGACATAAAATATATACTTGCACAGTTTTTGCAACAGTTGTACACCCCAATTATCTACTAAAGAAATAATTTTTATTAGTTATATAGTTCAATAGTCATATCTACTGCTTCCTTCACAAGTAATTTTAAGTGTCGATAGCTATATTGTTAGATCGAACTTTCAGGGAACATCCTGTCTTTATTTTTACGAAGGAATCAACTTGTGAACAAATAAACACACTATTATTATTGCTACACGCCAAAAATTATTTTCATTGCATTGCAGAATAAAACTTTAAGGCTTGTGGACGCAAATTTAAAGCTAGAACGTCAAGTATTGATATCATTAGAGTTTATGATTTAAAAAGTTTTTGATTATTATAATGAACATTTATCTTTTTCTCATTACTGTTGGTTTCTTTTCAGGTCATGTAGACAAGATAAATCATACAAATGTGTTCAAGATTTGGACTTCATTAGTTCTGTTTGTTGTCTCGCTCAGGTTTGTTCAAGTTATTGAAACGTAACTATCATACGTATATCTCGTTAGTCAATAGTCATGTCGTAAGAATAAATCTATTAATTAATTAGTTTCTTTTATTGCATTGAAAGTATTCAGGATTAGAAAAATTGCAATGGTTACTTCCATTTTCATGTGCTAGATTTCTTGATTAACTTTTGTGATTAGTTTAATTATGTGTAATACTAATAATACAATTAAGTAGTTAAAAACTATAACTACAATTATTGTTATCAGACACAAGCATATTTATTTTTGACATGAATAATCATTACGTGTGAAAGTGTAACAAAAGTCGTAAGTTTATGCTCAATTAAAATTTTATAATCATGATAATAATGATACTGACAATAATGAGTGATAAAACGCTTGAATAATTAGCCATTTTTTCAGTTCGTATACTTTTATTTGCCCAATTAAAGCTTAAACAAAAACACTTACACTGACCTATGGATGTAGAAAATTAAATTAACTTAAATTAATTAAAAGCATTTCGACTGATTATCCATTCAAATCCAACTTAAAAGGTATATTGCCTAAATAATGGTAAAAAATGAGTTGAAAAGTATTATTATTATTATTGTCACATTTAACAATCTATAAAAAAGTGTACTAAATTAATCTGTATACAAGATAAATCAGTATCATAGTAAAAAATGTTCATTTTCGTTACATTTAATTATATTTACATATGTTCGTTTCCTTTACAACAATAGACTATCAACCTGGCAGTTAGATCTTTGAAACATTTGATTCGAAATTTAATGACGTAAACATGAACTAATTAGTTGTTTGAAAAAGTATTCATTGTTCATTAAGTGATACCTAAATGACACTAATTTAATACACATTAACCTTACTGACTAATTTATGTAAAACAAAGTTTATCGTTAATATTGAAAGTTTTTATTAGTTTATTCCAGGAATCAGTTGCACGGCTATATTTCACAAAGTACACATTTTTCTTACCTCCTTCCTCATTTTACATAAAAATAATGCTTCAGAGCCTAAGATAAAATCACCTTTACTGAAAATAACATGACAGCGACAGACTCAGGCCTTTCATCATTTTGATTGCACTAAAAATATTTCGCTTTGTTTCCTCCTTACTATTTAGATTTGTGTTCATGTATTTATTAAACAAAAGGTGAAAGTAACATTTAATCTCACTATTTTATTCTTATATTGAATAGGAACGATTGAAGTGTTATCAATACTTATAAAAATCAATCAGTCTGTCAAAAACATTACGCATCAATTCAAAGAGCAGACATGTTTCACGTAGACTGTTTAATAAAGTGACTGTGTTCCTTTTAGAATATAATATTGAAATAATAATAAAATCAAAAATACAATTACGAAAAACATTTAGAAAATGAATTCTTTTAACCGGTCTACACTAAAATTAGATAACTATAATATTAAATAATGATAAGAAAGGAAAGTCCAACTACATTATTAAATAATTTTTAATGAAAAAAATCAAGTTTGTAATTACATATTGGATGTTAACAACTGATGTGATTAATTTCATCAATAAAATACTTAACTGTTTATGGACGATTCGTTTGAATTCACTAAAATCTGAATGGAAAATTTTTTTTTCAATGAATTCTGTTCATGTTTTACAATTATATTTCCAGGCGGAATATATCATTTCACATCATAACATGTGAATTTAGTTTTGTTTATAAATCAACAACCAGACATTGTTAGACTACCACTAGAAACCTGGGAGCACTGGACGGCCGTTTCGTCCTGGTGTGGGACTCATCAGCAATACGCATCCACGACTCTTGCACCTCTCAGGATACGGATCCAGGACCTTCAGTCTTTCGCGCGAACGCCTAATCTCTGCAATACTGGGCTGGCACCCGAAGGTGTTTATGTCTAACTCCGATCTATCTACAGAGGGGTTGGAGGTGTTTCTTTTGCACACATAGCTCCAGATTTTTAATACGAATCGCTATTGCATTTGCCTTTCGAAGAATTTTCAGTCACATCGATTTTAACAGAAAATTACTGACCTGATAAATAATTGGGAAAGATTCATCCAAACTCGAGTTATGACTAGTTTTCGCTTAATGGCTCAATAATGAACTGTTCACAACCTTTACAACTCTTTCGCTTAACCACGCAAGGGAATGTTCACGAGTGCAAAAATGCGAATTCCTAGAACTCTAACAAATATGACCTACTCACAAAGAGCGGTCGAACTAAGGAATACGAAGCAACATGGTCATTCTAGGTAATTCACCTTTTACACTTGTCGTCACTATAGGGTACATAAAAAACACTAGTTGTAATTTTCCAGTGTTGAATGTTCTCTCGACTGCTCTATACAATGTGTAGAATAGTATCTCACTGACTTCATTACCTCTAACAGGAATTTCCAACTCTTTGTTTGTATTTACCTATACTAACTCTAGTGGATATATACTTGTTTTAAAATTTACGAGGTATCTGTTTTCCCTTAGTATATTACTTCAACTATAACTGTAGAGAATATTACTAACTAAGAGGATAAATGAGTTGTCTATATTATCAAGAGTGAAATGTGAATTTCTGAAGAATCTGTTTTAGTGGAACACTTTTAAGGTTAGCTAGCGTGTTGTCCATTGGTGAACCCATTGTAACTCCATCCACTTGCCTATAGATTTTCCCATTAAACTTGAAATTCACATTCATGGTTCATTTCAATAATTATTTCTTAGCGGAAATATACTTTCGGTTTGGTTTTTTTCTAAGTTGTTCATATATACACTCTACAATCTCCATGAGTGGAACATCTGAGATTAATAATGTTACATTATTTGCATTTCTGGTCGTGTACGCAAACTGGAATACATTCGTAACATTATGCTGAATAAGCTTTTGTTAAATATTTCATAAAATTTTTCAATAATGTAAAAATATCATGTTCGTAAATTATAATCGAATTATTGAATTTCATTGAACTCTTTTTGTTTCTATTCAAATTATTACGTTTAGTTGATGTGAAATCAAATGACAATTCATTATACTATAGAAAATGAGATTAAAAATATGACGCTGTAATGTAGCTGTAAGATGATCTTCATAATTACTTGAGTTAACAGGGTAGGAAATCGAATTAGAGCTTTTTCATTATGCAACACATTGAAAAACTCATCTAGGAAATTAAAAGAATGAGTTGAAGTCATTAGGTTGTAACTGTAATTTGGTTACTAGGACAGCTCTGTTTACTTTTTCTACTCTTATTGGTTGGAATTTAACCAGGAAAATCAATTTGATCACCGAATTTTGATCGATTTGTCGAAACATAGTAAGCTCAACTCCGAATGAAAGGATTTTCATCATCGTCACCTAATAATCACATCAATTTGCGAACCAGTTAAAAGATTATTTTTGGAATCAGCTTGTATAGTTCACTTACATGTCCAGTCTATACTGCTTGTCATGGACTTACGACAAACTAATTAGTCTATTCTTTCTTAGTAATAATTCACACGAAATTCGACCTTGTCTATTGTCTGCTCATAACCTGGGTCGTATTTAGTTGAGTATCTACGTAAAAATACTTCGTTTATCGCATGTCTAGCTTACTTCGGTCTGAATATTAATAGTCATTCCTCATTTTAAGGAGTGGTCCACTCGACTTCTTCGCTTCGCTTAGTGCAAGAGTTCCTCGTAATCATCTGTCTGTTAACGAAAGTAAGTGGGATAAATTTATCCAACTAAAGGTGTATTGAAATTTCAATTAACATTACCGCGCAAACGGAGTCTGTCTAAGAATAACAGAAGGAAATAAAATAGGAGAATTCTATCATTAGCATAAGTTTTAGTTCTTCCAAAATGAAGCCATGTGATTGGCTTCTGAACGTATTTTACTAGAAGTTTTGTTTCCAATTTGTAAAATAGGAGATCATCTGAAACTCAAAAAAAATCAATCATTATTAAAGTCAGAATTTTCAGCGCAAACGCCAAAACAGTTCTACTGTATGGAGCAGAAACTTGGAGGACTATGAACACCATCATCTGGAAGATATAAGTGTTCATCAACAGTTGTCTACGCAAGATACCTCTCGTCCGTTTGCCGGACATCATCAGCAACAGCCTACTGTTAGACAGAACAAACCAGATTCCAGTGGAGGAAGAAATCAAGAAGAAGTGTTGGAAGTGGACAAAACACATATTGAGAAATGTATTTAACTTCGTCACAAAACAAGTTCTTACTTGCAATCCTCAAGGCCGAAGGAAAAGAGAGAGATCAAATGACACAGTAGTCCGTGAATTGGGAACAAATATGCAAAGAGTGAACAGAAATTTAGTGAGTCTCGAAAAGAGGGTCCAGAATTCTGGTAGGTGTCCTATGCTCCGTTGGAGGTAGCAGGTGTAATAAAGTGAAGTGTTATTAAATAACGAGGAAAACGTTTCATTCACTGCGAGAAAAAGCAATTTAGATGTGTCAATGAGCTTACTTTCAGAGACCTTAATCTATACAAATATATCATCATTTTCATCAGGAAAGAATCAAATGAGACGAACTGTTGTTAATCCATTTTTTTCAGAATTCTCCAACTTACTCTGTTCTGGACCCTGCTTTCGAGACTCACTAAATTTCTGTTCACTCTTTGCATATTTGTTCCCAATTCACGGTGTACTGTGTCATTTGATCTCTCTCTTTTCCTTCGGCCTTGAGGATTGCAAGTGAGAACTTGTTTTGTGACAAAGTTAAATACATTTCCCAATGTGTGTTTTGTCCACTTCCAACACTTCTTCTTGATTTCTTCCTCCACTGGAATCTGGTTTGTTCTGTCTAACAGTAGGCTGTTGCTGATGATGTCCGGCAAACGGACGAGAGGTATCTTGCGTAGACAACTGTTGATGAACACTTATATCTTCCAGATGATGGTGTTCATAGTCCTCCAAGTTTCTGCTCCATACAGTAGAACTGTTTTGGCGTTTGCGCTGAAAATTCTGACTTTAATAATTATTGATTTTCTTTCTGAGTTCCAGATGATCTAATATACAAATGTTGTCCTGTTTTGCAAATCTATTTCCTAAAACGTGTATCAGAATCCTCTTATTCTACTAATAATGCTGCATATATTTGGAAAACCTCACGCAACTTCCAAATCTTCTTCGCCAGTGTGATTTGGCTGCTGTCTGCTATATCGTATCTGAGGAACTTACTTAAAATAAAGATTTTTAAAATTTAACTATTGTATTTTGTTTATTCAGCCAAAAATACTATCCCATTCTTAGATTTGTGAAATGAACGAAATTAGTTTACTGAGAAAAGACGTAAAGCCATATGTAATAAGCATTAGTTGATGAAGACACATTCTTTAAGCCAAAAAGCGTACTCCCTATATCTTGCAGAACATGCCCATTCTTTCTGTTTGTTCTATCTGTCTTTTTCTCCTCAAAACACCAAGAATACGACACAAATCCGTACCCGACACTTCTCTCTCGCCGTTAATTTAAGGAGACACTCTGTCGGATATTCACTGCATACTACGTATAATCTCCGCTGTATGTAGTACACCAAGTATATATTGAGCATCCACATAGAATACTTAATCCGTTTAAAATTTGATTACCTAGTTTAATAATACATGTCCGAGGAAGTTTTAGATTCATAATGATCGAACTGACTGTCAAGAAATTTGCAACTGACTCTTCAAATACTTAGATCATTTACATTCACGTTTGATAAATTAAATAAAACAAGTTGATTGTATATTTGATGATATTCAATGATTTAAAATTAAAAATAGTAAAGAAACTATCTTATTGGTGAACATTTATAAGAATCGTAGAGTGAATCTGGAATATGGCTTTTATCAGTAAACTTTTCTTTATTTTAGATTATAGTCATATTATGAATTTTATTGTCAAAAGTTACTAAACCATGAAATGGTTAATTGCGAAATCTTATGCTACACAATTTACGTTAGGTAATTAGTAAAGTACATATTCTGAGAGCATTGACTTATATGGCTATTGGTTCTTCAGATTTATAACACTGAACTGGAGTCTACTTTCTTTATTTATCTATGCAAAGTTCAGTGCCAACACACTGATTATATAGAGTAGGGCCTATGAATAGCTCAGATTTGACAAGATCTAACAAACTGATTTTATTCTACAACATTTGTAATCACTTTAAGAAAGTTTGTTAGAGTAAAACAGCATACGAAATTCATTAGACGATGCATTTATTCACCATTCGTTCATACACTAGAATATCCGTTGACGATATGTTGTAAAATCAGACTCTTATAATAATGGAAAATAATTATAATTAATTACCACTAATAAACTTAAATACTATTTGTTTGTGTCATGTCTATGCTCATTTTAAAATTAATTCATACACAGTAGAGTTAATGCATACTAAATAAAATGAAACAATTCCAAGTCACGATATTGGTTGTTCACATTGTACAAACATTTACACTTGATCTTGTTCATCCTATGCATCTTTAGTTTCATACAGCGCTTGTAATCTCATATATATACATCTGACCAAATCTAGTTTACAAGAAGCTTTTTCATGAAAACAGTCCTTATAAGATCAGTTCTATCCGATTTAATGGTAGACTGACAATAAATTTAATGTGAAACGTTCAACAATTATTTCACAATGGAACACCATAATATGTTTCTATGAAAATTTTCTATCTGCTCTCGATTATTGCATAAATCCTCATATTGATTCATTTAGAAATGGGAATCATTTCTGTCAATAAAATCTTGTTAATAAATTCATAACTGTTCCAATACACTGATCTTCACAGTCATCTAGTTGAAGAATTTCAAATCTCCTTCATTAATAATTCAGGTGCAAAATTTAAATAATAAATTTTTCAAAGATTGTAGAACAATCGAAAACTTCACATAACTAAACCAAAAAATTGATAACTCTACATACTTAGAAAACTTTTTACATAAAATACAGATTTTTTACTGAAATATCAATGATTTTCTTCATTGCTATACTTGTAAATTAATGATGAGAGATATGAATATTTAGCTTATCTTTATGAGAAACCAAAATTGAATAACTTTTTTTCTTGTGAATACTAGAATTTTATTACTCAGAAATTAAACATGTATTATATGAACGTGAACTAATAATATGTCAAAATGCCAAAATACATGCATGTAAAGAAATTCAAATTTTTATGACAGAAAACTACTATTATCCTACCCTATTTATTTCTTTTGTCTCGACTAAGTGTATATTTAAAAAATTAATCAAAGATCTCTGAAATTATAAAGAGAGTTTTTTTTCCGGGAAATACATATCAATTTCATATGACAGAAAAAACAAGTATGTTTAAATACAATGTCTGATCAATGAATGTTTTTATTGTCAAACCAATCAAATAAAAAATCAAGCAATAAAATGTAATCGTGTAAATAATTACTAATCGTTAAGATTCATCTTGTAATTCCATCAGTTACTCAAATATCTCTAACAAAATAAAAAGCCGATTACTGAGAACACAATCGAATTTTTTTCGGACTACAATCAATATAGGATTCAAATATGATCTGAAATGTATTGTTATGATTCATTGTCAAAATTTTTTTTATAAATAGATAGACTTCACTTATTTCAGTCAGTCAGTCATTTATAACGTAGAACTTCGTACATACGTACATCAGTTCAGGTTGCCATACCGCATCAGCACAGAGATGCAACTGTCAGTTCAAATCCAATAGTGGTAGCGATAGTTGAAGTATTAGCAGTAATGGAGAAGATTAGGGTTTGAAGACTTCACTTATTTAGTGAAAACAGTAAAGTTGTCCAGACAGATCTCATAATAAAAGAGTGTAGGTCAGAAAAAAATAAATATTTTTGTACTTGATTACTTACTAAGTCTCATTAAATTTAATCTGATTTCGATTTAAATAAAGGTTTATTGGTGTAATAGAATTTAACAAATTTTCGAGACTACACCTTTGTGTAATGTTTATAATGAAATATGTACCACATGAAGAATTTTCAAAAATTATACTACATATATTGCATGAATATTTTAACATTACTAATTCGATTGTTTTGTAAATAAGTTATCGTAAAGGAGTAGTTGCTACTTACTGTATTTGGAAAACTTTAAAAGGTTTTTGTATCAACACTAGTATCATTGGTGTTTAGTTATTTTGTGGATGAGTGGGATCAATGCCAGTAATACGGTGAATTAGACCGGAAAGATAAACGTTTACTCATGATAAACTAGCTACTTTCATTCTCTTGTACTGCGACATCTAGGTGATTACAGCTGGAGTAAGAAACTAGTGGGTTCAAATACAGATTAAAAAATGTATTCCTGTATCGAATCAACTAAAAGAGAAATGATCCATTTATTGTTCTGAATTTTTCTGGGTATTTCATATATCAGACGTGAATGCATGTATATAGATAATAATTTGCAGACTTTCTGAGCACTGAAATAACTCGGCGACTTATGTACCTTATTGTACTCGTTTAGGCAATCACAGTATTGAAGTCCAAAGATAATTGATAATACATATGGCAAAATTACAGATTTTACTATTATAGTTTTTGAATGGAATGATAAGATTGAATGCTTCAATTAAGTAATAAATGAATTTGACATAGTAGGTAGTACCTATATTAATTGTTTCTCTGGTTATCAGAAAATGTGACTGCCGACAAAACTCGACTTTCATGATGAGACGTCATAGATCTTTCGAATGACAACCTTCCAACTCCCAGGACAGAGTCTAAATAGTTTGAATTCTTTGTTTCTGGTGGCGTTTTTTGGCATTTCGGTTTTCTAAGGGATGAAGTCGCTAATCTTTAACCCGACCCTCCTCCTTTATGCTGAGCTAAGAACCGGCAGTTACCCCAGAAGGTCTTCAGACGAAGTGCCTGTGCTGAATTTCTTAGAATATATTTTGTTTTGGATGAAGTGCTGTACATTTTTTTAAAAGTAAAAAGTATTAGTGTGTTACCAGCAATGGAACCACTTGTCTGTCAATTAATTTTTACTAGATATTAATTGCAGAATATTTTTTCTCAACAAGGTGTAATTCAAGGAATTTTCATTTTATTTTGTTCAACAATAATCATAGGGAAATTTTTCTTCACGTGATGGACTACAAGACATAAAAAACAATTGAGGCGAATATTTTTATTCAATTTTAATGTTCATTTTTCTGCACATTAAAAGCTTTCATAAATGTCTGATAAGTAGATTCAGTATTAAACCTCCATTAAACCACCACGATATTCTTTTATGGGGAACCAACGTTTTTCATTAACTGTTCTCCACCATTTCGGAACATGTGATCTTCGATAACTAAAATTTACAAATACGAATATATAAATTATTAATCTATCTGCCTTTTTTATAAGTATATATCAACATAAGTTTCAAGTGGGAATAAAACTGATACCATAGAAATGAAATTAAGTGACTCTTCAAATAATACAGAAAATTTTTGTCTGTTCTGTAAGTAATTAGAAAACAGAGACTATAATAAAATAATAATTGACAGAAAGTAAATAGAATTTATTTTTTTTTTATTTTTTTTATTTTAAAATGGAAATGTGCTTTATATTCAAATTAATGCTTGTAGCTTCGCGTAGCGCATATTATAACTGTTGGTACATTTTGTTACTACATGATCCTGTTGAAGTGTCAGTATAGTGTTGCTTATAAACAACCACTTTGTGATGTAATATGAATCAATGCACTGTATCGCTTCTGAAATTATTACAGCGGCGTTCTTGAAAAGTGGCTTCAAATTTTCCCTTAATAAAAGACAAATGAACTGGTAAAATGTTTCATTTTTATGTTTAAATATTCTTATTTTTTCCAACAATCTGGAATTCACTTAGTTCACACAATGACAGACATTTGTTTATTTAAAGACTTGCTTGTTTTCAAAGAAATTGATTATAATTGCTTGATTGAAAAAGGACTAAATTTGTTCAGCAATTATCAAACATTGATAATTTGATATCAACCCCTATCATCTGAAATGTTTTAGGATAGTCTCCTATGATGCTTTCTTTTAACATTTTTAAAATGAATTGTAATTCTGGACGTCGAAAATGAACGTCGCAGCTAGTTCTCTTAGTTTATTACTAAAGCATAATGATAGATACTGAGTTTACTGGTAAAAATATGTATTCTTGTGGGAAGTTTTACACTACAGATATTTTTCAGTGAGACTCAGACGATGCGATCCTTCATAATAATAATAATAATAATAATAATAATAATAATAATAATAAGTTTATCCTCTATCCAGCCTGGTAAAAGTTTTTTACGGTGACTTGAAAATGAAAACTTTATGTTGTGTAATTTCTTCATATGGTTAGTTGCTAAATCTGCGCGCATTTTCTGCCTTTGGACGTTTTAGTGTATTCATCATTCCTTCCAGTGAGTAAAATGATATACGAAACAGTGTCGAAATCATATATTTTCCCCAAAATTTGAATATTGATAGAAATTTAATTAACACCTTATAAATATCTTTAAATCAAATTCATGATAACAGCTGATGAATCTTTTATCACTATGCCATACGTTAACAAAGTCCTTTAATAAATTACGAATCTCAGACTGATATTTTAAGGTCTGGTCACAAGAAACAAGTCATTTTTTACTATGCAACACATTAATATCATGTGGTTCAAATAGAATAATAGGGAATAACGCTAAAACATTAGGCTGCATTTAGTATTTTACAACAAAATTTTAAATCATGTTAACCTAAGAACATGAAAATAAACAATTTGTAGAGTTTTCAAAAACGTTTTGCATAGATTTAATTTTTACAGTATTCCAGTACTTTTCTTACTGATATGATTCAGTAATTACGAATAGAGTTTTGCATTCTTATGAATTGACGTTTTAGTATTAATCCTAGTGAAAATTCTCTTCTATCCAAACGAAAGTAAGAAGGGATGAGTTTGAACCATTAAATTAATGGTTCAGAGATAGAGAGCTGATTATTGATTTTTATATATTATACGTCATAGAATAGAAAACCTTCATCAAGCTGTTTACATAACGATAATATTGATTCGACGCTTTGTATGAGAACTGAATTTATTAGAGGCTAAAAATTATAAAATCATTCTAATCCTTGTTGTAGATTTAAAAAAAGATTGATTTAAATCATAAATGTTGAAATAATAAACTTACTAATATGGACTATAATCATTTAGTGAACTGGAATCTAATAATCCGTCAGACAATTCATCTTTTGAATAACCATGTGGATTTGCTTTTGAACTGATCACAAACATATACATAATAACTACAAAAAACCGTATCATCAAAATAAAATAAAAGAAAGAAATATTCCAAATAATCACACAAATTATATCATCTTACATTAAACATTATTGTGAAAAATAATTAACGAAATGATTATCTACAATTAGAATTTTCATGATCTATGTAGTTTAGGTTTCTTTTAAACAATTTGTAATATTTGATATCATTCTATGAATTTACTTATGATTTTAATTGAGTATCTTGTACATTGTGAAAAGTTAATTATTTAACTGGCAGCTTAAAGCTGATTCTATGGATGTCATGTTTATAACTGACGACGATATAACAAAATAACTTCATAAATGATTGTAAGTGAAATACTTGATGTTTTCTGAGTTTTACATTTCACTTGTATATTTGGTGAATAGTTGCAGTTAAATATTGAAGAAAAATCTCAATTTGACAGGAACTCGACAAATATTTAGAATACATTTTGAGGCATCTACTTAAGAACATCTTAAGTTGAGCAGTAACTAATTCTCTAAAGCATACAAGTCAAAAAGAAGACGGTTCAAAATTTCGCAATAGATAGCTTATCATACGTTAAGAACAGCTAATTTCTCTAATTAGTGAAAGCCACCACTTATTGACTAATCTCAATTATAACAAAATATGTTTTTCTAAATCTTACTACTTATTATCAGTAAAAGTCTATGATAAATGATTTCATTATTTCAAATGAAAACATTTTAGTTTACCTGATACATTGACGTGTAAAAGCGATTACGTTATATTTGGCAAAATATTCTGTTGTAGGCCTAAGGCATTTTATGAATGTACTCAGAATGAGTTGTAAAACCTATTTTAAGACTAAAACAAATTAAACTAAAATAAAAAAGGATGACAGTATTATTCATTTGTTGTTCAACAATCTACACTAAGCTACATTTATCAAGTGTTTATCGAAATCATATAAGACAGATTTAATTTTGTATATTTTTCTAAAATAAACAACAGATTCAGCACTTTATCATCAAATAAATGTTGTTATTCGGTCAATCCCGGCTGTTAGTGTGTTCTGATGAAAAAAAAACGAATTCAAATTCCAGTTTTTAATTGAAAATTTAATATGTCAAGTATATAATATATAATTTACAAGAAGTTTAAGATTGGTTTTTCAGAAGCTCTTAAACATAATTTGACAATAAAAGTTCAAGCTCAATGTAACGGAAACGCAGTTTAACATCAAGTGAATTAAACTTTATAATTAACCAAGTAAAGAAAGACAAATATGATTAAATTCTTTAGTTCATTTTTATGCTTCACGTCAATCATTGACCTTCTTTAAGAAAATCATTAATAATGAATATGAAATTAATAGCTGTTTCATGTTAGGATGAAACTCTTGACCACTGCGAACACATTAACACGCTAATCATCTTGTCAAATCATAATTGTATTAATCCACAAACTGATAGGTTAAAACAATACTTAATAACCGTATATAAGATTGTGTTAGGCGTAATGTTTCACTATAATCAGAACTATGAACATGTTCAGTTTGTCATATGAAGCGGTCAAAATATTTGATTGAAAACGAATTAATTTGATAACAAGATTTGTTGTTTGCCATTGAAATAGAAGCTATTTTTATTAGTAAAACAGTTTGACCCTATTGCTCTCAATCATAGTAAATCACAAAATTTCTCTAAGTAAACGTGAGAGATATTAAAAAATATATCTTAAATAAATGAGTAATCATTTATTTTAAAAATATATTAACTAAATACTTTTCTTCTTGCCGAAATTTAATTTAACACTGAAAAAAATCTCTTCAAATAATTCGATGTTGTTTAAATGTAAAATACATTATTATTTCGCTTCAATGAGTACGAATAGATTCGAAAAAATTAAATTAATTCAGTCAGTAAGCTTGTTCAGTAATTTGAAGTGTTTTTTTTCGATTCTTGTCATTTTAGTCGATAGGTAAAGTTAAGCTTTTACTTTTTAATTAACGAGGAATTTTGTTTTGTAGTCCAAGTCAAATAATGATCAAGTAACAGTATACATTCTAAAACATTTATCCATTTGAATACTGGATAAAAAATTTTCAAATAATTGGAAATGTTATACAAACGTTTAGTGTTATTTGATCAAATGGCCGAGAAATGGCAATTACGTCTCGATAATTTCACCGTTTTTTTTTCAGCTGGTTAAAGTTGGTGAAAGAAAAAATTTACTTCCTGTGGGATGTAAACTCTAATGACTTTTGAAATTATATAAATTGGTAGTAGATAGTACTGACTAGTTCCTAGTTAACAATAAATTTTATTTCTGATTCACAATAAATTAGCGCCTTATAATCCTATTTATTGTTTTAAGTTATACTTCACATATTTCATGGTTTGATTTTTACCGATCACATAATGGGAAACATATACAATAAATAAAATATACAGTCAGATAAATTATTAGGACAAATTCGAACTAATCAGTAATTCTGATGGCAAACAACGCTATTATAAAACTTTTCACTTATTTTCTCTTACTCACATCTAAATATCCTTTGCATTATATGCTTAAGATGAATAACTTCATTGTTACAAAAAATAATTTAGTCTTGTTAAATTTTTAACTATTTTTATAGTTGAATATAATCACTTGTTTGATCAGAAGTTTACTTAGCCTTTCTTCATATCAATAGGGTCAGAAAAGTAATCTATTTAAAGAAAACTATTTGTTTCATTAAATTAAAATGACCCAACTTCTATTCTGTCCTTTAAAAATCTATCAAACACTAAAGTATTTATAAATTTCGAAATCCATATTTGTAATCGCATTGCGTAGTAATAATTGAACTGACCTAGAAAATATTCATTATTCATTATTACTGTTTCATTATTTTTCCGTCTAAAAACTGTGATTTTAAATTTCTTTAGCTAATCAATAATCCCGTTAACAGTTGACGTTGAATTCCAATGCTTCATCATTGTTAAGAAGATATTTGCATCATTTGAAATAATTCAAATTAATGACAGGATGCCAGTACTCCAGGTACTCTAGATACCTACCTATAAGATGAATCTCTTTTTATTATTGTTCTCTGAACTACAGTCATCATTTGTACCGAATCTTTATGCTACTCATCAATTTCACAACATAATCTTCAAAACTAAGTCATGTAAAATACGAACAATTGTCCATATATTTTTCATATTTAAACCATTTACATAAACTAATTATTTCCCATTAAGCTTTATAAGAATATTAAGCGGTGTTTAATAACTAGAAGTGTTGGCAGCTTTGGTTTTCTTCAAAAACAAATATTTTAGTCGTATTTAAGATAACGTTATAAGCATAACATTCACCAATCATGTAGAAAGAAGATAAAGTTGCACACCGAAGAAAATCCCCTGCAGCTTGATACGTTATTAGATATGGTTTAGAGATTTGGTCTATAATAATCCCCAACCTGTGATTATTTGTATTATCAGTAAAGTTAGTTGAAAAGCATCATTAAAGTACATGAGAAATATCACTATTGCTTATTCGTTTAATGTGTAGTATCCTTTGGGGAGTTCGATTACTGTTTTTATTTATCTACATCATGTAACTGGGTTTTCCTATTCCTTCGTGATATAATACATTTCAATAAAAATATAAACATCAGTTGATTGTTACAGTTGCAATAGTGTTTTCGCTTGAAAACAAACTATGAGATTGATTAAGTGAACAAGATTTATTATAAATTAAGTGTATAATATATCAAGTATCTTTTTATGCTAAATGTTTAAAACTAATTTCTATCAGATATCATAAAAGTAATATTTTTTTCCACTTGAATAAAATCTTTGAAATTTATTGTCTTCCTATTATTCCAATATACTAGCTATTCGGTTGTGTCTTATTGTCTTCTGTTTGTACTCGGATGCATTTCTGAGGATTCTCATTTATACAGTAAGTCGACTGCTTAAATACTGTATAATATTTCAATGCAGACCCTTTTAGTTTCTCCTATGACAATGATACTATTTCCATAAATCAAACTATATACTAGATGGTTAAACAAGAGAACTGTCCACTTATTTAAACTTGTAACAGAATATAGAATATACTACAAATCACGTAGTGATTTATTAAACTGACAAACTTTCGATTATTTTTCATAACAATTGTGAGATTCAAACAATTTATGGTAAGAACGCTTAAACTTAGCTGTGTATAATTGTTTTTTTAAATTAAAGCTTCAAATTTTCAGCAACTTAAGTCATTTCAATGTTTATTATACTAGTCTGGGTATAATCAATGATAAATTAAATTTTACATAAAACATTTATATAAATGTTGTTAATAACTTTTCACATTTCATTGGTAATACACTGTGCTAAAGCGAGACAATTACATTATATATCTGAGTTCATTGTTCCTTGAGTAACAAATATTTTGCATAACCGTTAACATTAACCAAATGCTTAGAACTTCACTGAAGATCCCAGGCTATTTGTAGTCAATATTATAAGCTTTGTAAAAGTATAATACAAAGTTTGCCTTTGAATGAAAAGACCTAGTTTCATTGGAGCTCAGTTTTGTTGTCAGTCAATTAATCAGAGATCTTCCTTTAAAGTTAATAATTATTGTCATCAGATTGTACAGTAGGCTATGAAAATAGTTGGTGTTTTTTGAATAAACGAATTCCGATTATTCTTTATTTTTAAAAATTTTCCAAATACTCAGGCGGTAGAGATCAATCTTTACGTGCTTATTCAACCTATACTCTTACCGAAATTTCAATAATTTCAGTCTTTTCGGACTTTCTATGCCTAAATATATAAAACCTTTTGTTCTTCAAACTGGTATCAAATATTCATGATTTAAATATTATTTACTTCCGGAAAAGTGTGTATAATTTAATATACAGTCTTCCTATAATCCTATTCAAAAAATTTCTGTAAAATACACATTCATATGTAACGCTATTTTAGAACTGTTGTCACAGAATTTTACAAAACATACAACCCAGTGAGAAACCTTTGATGTTGTTAGTCAGTGAAGTAGTGTATGATAATATATTTTGATTTTTTAAAATTTAAATTGTATAGTTCAAAATGGAATTATTTAAACGTATCTCCAAAACTAACTCTGTGCATTTTTTAACTGGCATATACTATTGTTACGAATTACTAATTAACAGCTAACAGTATTGTAGATGAAATATTTTAACTGGTAATAAACTTTTTAAAAAGTTTCTGAAACTATAGTGAGAAACGTCTCTTTTTTGATTCATGGTTCATTCCATAACTAAGACTACGTTCACTTATTAATTTAAACTAGATTTATCAAATCGATATTTATTTTATAAATAAATTTACAATATAACTTAATAAAAAAAACACTTCTATGAATTAATGTAACTACTTATGCTTTTCATTGATATTGTTTTGTCGAAGAATGATTATGAAATCAAACCAGAAACTACCACAAATAAGTATTCTTTAAAATTGTATGAGCCTATAGTTTGAGCTTATTGTGTCGTTTTATAGATACTCTCTTTAGATTTGTGTTCTGTATTTTCTTCTAGAATGACTTTGTTTCACTAATTCATTTTTGGCAGAAAGAAGAACGCCTGGTGAAAAGTTTTAAAACAATACTATTTCACTGCTCATTGATTCATATGTGAATAGTTACCCATTTTATGCTACTGTAAACTATTTTTTGTTAATTCAGTCCTATCAAATTTTAATGTGTCAACTGATAGAAAACAAATCCTACTGATTTTTCCCAGGTTACTTAATATCAACATGATTTAACTGTCGTTCCTACAGTGTAATAATGCTGTTACTATTCGTCTTCAATAACAAAAATTTACAAATATGTATGGGAGACTTACCGGCTACTAATCCGATCATTTTTAAAAAGTGATACATTTATATTACTGAAATAAAGTATCCTAAAATGGAATATATATATATACATATATATATCACTTCAAATACAAAAAATAAAGAAAATTCAACCACTATCCTATATGATGTATTTGCTGCCTTTATTGCAGACAAAATTTCATTGGCCGGTTATTTTAGTTATTCTTTGTTGTTCAAACCAATCAGTTAATTTAAAGTTAACAACAGCGTTTTACGAAAATAGGTTAACTCAAACGTGTTTAAATAGACAAACCAAGATCAATTAAGTATTAAATGGGCTAAATTTATGTAAAGATAGGGTTTGTTTAGAATAAATTAAACAAAAGTATAGCAATTTAACGAGTAGAAATATTGTTTTAGGGGAAGATGTGTTTTGCACATTGAGAATGTTGACATTTTCACAGAAGCAGTGATAATTCTACGTGAGCGTTAAGTAACCATCCTGTCAGTCACTGTAGTAAATTGAGAGAACAGAATTAGGAATTCAGTAATATTAAGATGATATTATCAGGAAAATAATTCAAATAGTTTTAACCTATTCTATTTTATTACAAGAAGCGTCCGTTATTAATTAAGGGTTATTAGTTAATATTGAACAACGACTCACTCAGTGCAATAATAGTCCAGTAAAAACCGTCTAGCATTCTTCTGCTATTTAAGATTTATTCCAATATTTGTGCAAAAATAAGATCATTTCAGCTATAAATTAATCAAACTAAGTGGCAATCTATAATAAAAATAATACAAGGGTTTAGTTGTAAATAATCATTTATCAAGACCTAATATAGGACTTTATCATAAAACTGGTTTGTCTTATAGTCTGGCTAGCCAGTTAATATAATCACCGTAAAAATGAACTTGTCAACAACCCATGTAATTTATCAGAGAACTTTATGAAAACATATCCTGACATGGGTTTGTATTTGTGAGATTTAGAAGATGTACTTAGGATCTAAAGTTCACAGTTTATAATACGTTTTGTTATTTGCATCTTTTCCATACAACATATGATTACTTAGGAATGTTCCGTTAACCAACTTAAACATCTGTCAGAAGATTAATCTGAGTAAATATCTGTCATTGCTGTCTAATACTAAAACAAACAGTTGTAAGTAAAGAGAGAATGTGAAAAAGTGATTTGAGAAGGTGATTTTCATTTACAGTTCTGAAAATGAAATATTAGTGGTTATCTTTTAAGTCATTTTCATAAGTCAGTAATCTAAAAATTAAAGATTTCAAGGTTACTAAAAGCTATTTGTTTGTTCTTTGTTACTGAACGTCTAAAAGAAGGTCGACTTAAAACGCCTTCCGGTGGAGTACATAATAGTATTTTTTTTCTCTATTGTCTATAACTAAATAAATTGTTCGAAATTTAGACTAGAAATGTTATCTGTCTGTTGGAAGATGCAGCTGAGATGAGCCATTTATACATAAGATAGATTTCGAATATTTTTGTTCATGAGCAATACAAATATGTGTGTTTCTGAAGAAAATGAGCTTCATTATGATCTTGAATCCCTAAGGCTTTAGTTCACTTTATTGATTTAAACAAATTAAATTATGAAGCAGCATGCAACAAAGTTACAATAGTTTGAAACGTTCAATTGTACATTAATTTATTGGACTATTTAAGGGAACTCGGATTCTAGTTTACGAATTCCTGTTTCTATTAAAAGTATAATATAACTGGTTTCAGATTTCAATTTAGGATAATCTTCAGAGGCAAGATAGTATTCACCGATATCCTTGTCAATAAATAGAAATTGTAATGAATTTATACCATATTTCTTTAAATAACTTTGTTTTAGTTCTTTCAAATATATAAAATTGATAAATTATTGGTCATTAAGTGAAACATTAGAATATCATCAATTTCGATATCACGAAATAGAAGAAATGGCTGTTAAATTTTCAAACGTAGCATATGATTACCTTAAGAAATAATGTATCATTCAAACTTTCATTAATGAATGAATTAATAGCGTATTAAAACAAAGTACGAACCACAGATTCACTGCCTATTACATAGCCTAAATAATCATAATATGAAGAAATGTCGATTGCATGTAAACAAATGCATCACATCTTTTTGTAGTCACTAGTTTACGTATATATAGATATTCAGACAAATGGAATGATATTAGTTGGTAATCACGGACATTTGAAAATATGCTCAAGTGGTTACACTGAAAACTGAACTCTAATTATCTGATTAAATCATAGAATAAACGTTTATCCTTGTCTTTGATCGAATGACTATTTGTCGCTTATCATGGAACTGCCCGAAAAACCGACTTCAAAGTACTGAACTGATTAAGGTCAGAAAAATCATCCTTGATATTTAGAAGATTTAACCTAACAATATTATAGCTTCTAGTGTGAAATAACCTGTACTTGCAATGAATCTGTTCTGAAAAAATTGTTTGTAATTGTAAATATAAAAAATCATGTTATTTAGTGTTTAATGTTGTTTTCTCTTATGATTATTATTTATTATTTAATTTTTATTGTCCTTTTCTTTTCCAGTTCACTTCATTTGATATTTTCTTATTCTCGATAATAATTATCATTACAGGTTAATATATGAATAATTAATGCAAAGTTTATTGTCCCTACACTGAATATGGATGATACCTTTAAGTGTTTTTTTTTCTTTTTTGCGTTTGGATTCATCTAAGTGTCAGGAAATGAAATTCCTTTTAATGAATTGTTTAAATTCACTAAAACAACAATGAACTCGATCTTTTTCTAAACAGAAAAAAAGAAAACAGAATTAGAAGCAGGAAAATATTTTTAACATAAAAAAATAAAACAATAACACTTTATGCTGAAAGAAAAATTGTAATGATAATTAAAAGTAATCATTCAGTAATTATTCGATAGATGTAGGTTTTGTAAACAATACAATATAATCATTTTACTAATATCATTAATATTTAAATAAATTAAAAACAGATTAATCAAAATAGTCACACTTTATGTGCAAATTATTCAATTTATTAATCTACTAACCTAACTACTAAGATCTATGATATCGAACAATACACAGGTAAAAGATTAAATTGTAATTCAACCCGATGTATCGTCCTTTTAGATGACATTATTTATAATGAACTGAATGACAAACACCATGATACCAAGATATGTTGGTGCAAAAGTATATTCAATCAAACAGTTAGTTGAATTTTAAACAGTTTTATCAAAACAACATCAAAATTATGTGTAAGAAAAATGTTTTTGACGCGCTTTATATTAAATAGACTTTATATCCCAGCTGTATGTACGTTTTTTCTCCTTTTTTTAATATTTAGTTATCCTATCTTTAAAACATTTTCTTACCATTTTATCCAATGAAGTTAATAGTTTTAAAGTATATATTCATTCAATTTTCACGAAAATAATTCTTTAATATGTTGACTAACTAATGCAGGACTAACAACCATTCAACCTCTATTGATTTTGGAGTCGGCTGTTTTCAATGATGCAGTGTACTAGTCGTTTGGCAAGTGCCTAAATCCTCAAGATGTACTTAGTATGCGTCACAAAGTGTTCTCTCAGACTAATCTTACAAGTTAGTAACGTTCCTGTTTCTTTTAATAAATGTTAGGTGATTATGTTAAACTGCAAACTCATATCATGTCACTTTGTAGTTACTGTGGGTATGTTGTCAATGAACAAATTAATCTTCGGTATTTTGTATTCTTAACTGCTGATTAAATCAGTTAAACATCTCGTTTCCTGCATGGTGTTGGTCTTGTGACCTTGGATATGAATTTTATTGCATAACCTTTATAAGTAGTTGAACTTCAGCACTGATGTCACTATTTCTGTCACTGTTTAAGCACTCAAACAGTAATCTACAACTGCTTGGGATTCTCACGGACAGCTCACCGGCTAAAACTACTGCAATAACGAAAGTTCATCCCAACTGTGATTCCCTGACTTCCATTGCCCGATTTGTGGCGCGATTACCGAGGTATAATGCAGTACAACAGCTCCGTCGCAACATACTACGACACATAAGAGGTACGCTCATATCTCCTTCACCAATAATCTATATTTTTATGAACAAGTCGATAATAATGTGGAAATGTCAGAAGAAATTGTACAGATTAATAATATAACTTAATATTTTTGCCCGTACTGCTTAATTACTTAGTCCCGATGGAGCATAGGCTGCCAACCAGTATTCTCCAAACGACTCTATCCTGGGCTTCCCTTTCCAGTTCTGTTCAATTTCGCTCATTCTATTCATATCCGTCTCCATTTCTTGAGATAACGTGTTCTTTGGCCTTCTTCTTTCCCCCTGACATTGATGGTTGAATGTGTGTGCTTGTTTTGTGACGCAAGTGGGTACTTTCAGTAATGTGCGCCAACGAATCCAGGGCATTGTGCGTGGACAACTGTTAATAAATACTTGTATCTTCCGGATGATGGCTTTGGCAGTTTTCCAAGTTTTCATCCCAAACAGTAGAACTCTCTTGACATTTGTATTGAAAATTCTGATTTTGGTTTTGTTATCACCGTATTATTCAAACAATAATGATGTAATAACACAGAGTATTAATGATGAATTGACATGAACATACAATACGCACATAATGTTTCATCATCATCATCATCATCATGGTATAGCCAAGGGCAGAAAATTCAGAGGCATCTTACTTGCAAAAAATTTGTTTGAAAACCCACTTCAATATTTGTAATTTTTCATGAACTATTCATGATTCATCGCTACACTATTTCTGACAAGTTTGTCAAATTAGGAGAGACTAATTTATTTAATTACGGAGTGCTTTATATTTAGGTATTTTCAAATAACGAAAGAAGCTTATGGCATCACTGAATAAAATACACGCAGTTAAGCAAAGGAAATTTTCTTTTCGACGATTTCATTTACTTGCGCTGTTCAATCGTACTTATAGTTTAAATATTTGCTAAAAATAATAGTCTCTGTTAAACTTAAATGATATGAAACAAAAATA